TTATTATGCGTTCCTTCTGGTAGCGCGAGGGCTGTATTCCACCGTCGAAGTAGGCGTTTGCCTCAGTGTCGGCGTTCGGGGCTTCTCGATCAAGGGCAGACCCCGCTTCCTGCCATCGGTCAGGGAAGTCGAGGCCTTGGATCACGACCAGGTGCAGGTTGGCCCACGGAGAGGAGCTCCTAGCCATGCAGGGGCTCGGCTTCGCGGGCAGGCGCGACCTCTTGAGTGGCGTGAGCCAGAGCTTGCTGCGCGACTTAGCCGGCAATGCCTTTCACGCTGGCTGTTGCGGCGCTGCGTTGCTGTGTAATTTTGTGATCATGGCCCGCGCTTGGGCTGAGTGCAAGCAGGTCAAGCGCAAAGACGCGGTGGCCAAGGCCATGAGTGCCCCTGCCGCTTCCGACGCCGATCGCGCCGCAGCGTGCGACTTCCTGGACGAAATCATGAGCGCCCCTAAGCCATGATGTCTTCCACCAGGTGGTCAGATGGGCGCTCCCCCCAGGCCGGTACATCCGGGGATAATATATGGCGCTATGTCGGTTGGCGAGATCCATGCATGCATATCCACCACCAGTGTGTATGTATTTCCTGGGCCTCGGATCGGGATCGGCGCGCCTCATTGGTCCAACCGGGGGGCGCATGAGCCGCTTCACGGACCCAGGTTGGATTTGGCCATCGGCGGTGGATATGCATCACGATTGTCGCCCTGATCTGGCGAATTATAAACAGACAAAGTTGAGCATTCAGACGCTGACTCATGCAAGGGCAGCAGAGGTGTTACAGGCCAGGGAGTGCCCTAGTAGGAATAATGGAATAGGCCATCGTGGCCGTCGCAGCCGACTTGACGCTGCGGTCTCTTGTCGCCCGCGTGCGCAGCGCGTAAATTGCCCTGCGTAAAGTAATGTCGCGCGGAAGCGCACTCGTCTTCAACGCGGCGTGCCGCGCCGGCTGCCCGCGTAAGCCACCGCGTGAGATCGCTACGCCGTCTCGCGTAAGACCCGTTTATTTTCGTCGCTCACATTGCACATCCCCTCCCCCCCGTTTTTCCGCCCATCCTCCGCTTCCTCCTTTTCCGACATTTCCTCGCTCATTTCTTGTACTTTGTTTCCGAGGGCTGGGCGACCTCGGTATTTTCAACATCCTTTATTTTTTTTTTTTTTTTTTTTTTTTTTCTTTTTTTTCTTTTTTTTTTTTTTTTTTTTTTTTTTTTTGTTCTTCTTCTCTTGCTCCTTGCCAGACCAAGCAGCGATAACGAAAGGAGGCCCCACATGTGCTCCTGCGGCGCACGCGCCAAGAGCGCGTGAATGGTTAGGGTCCTTCAGTTTTCGGTGCGAGGTGAGTCGTTCGGGCCCTCGGTTCTCGGTCGGAGGTGAGTCGTTCGGACCCATCGCATCTCGGTCGGAGGTGACTCGCTTGGGCCCCTCAGTTTTCGGTCGGAGATGAGTTGTTCGGACCCCTCTGTTCTTGGTCGGGGGTGAGTCGTTCGGGCCCCCCAGTTCTCGGTCGGAGGTGAATCGTTCGGGCCCCGCAGTTTTCTGTTTGAGGCGAGTCGTTCGGGCCCCTCAGTTCTCGGTCGGAGGTCCAAAACGCCCAGCTCAGCGCGACAACTTCCAGGGTCAGTGGACTGGTCAGAAGGGCCAGAGGCTTCTGTCAGTCTCTTGGGATTTCAACTGGGAGGTTATTGGAGGCATGTTGGGGCGTCGTGGGGGCATCTTGGCGGTCGCGGGGGTATCTCAGGCCATGTTGGATGCCCTGGGACAGCCTATCGATGTCATACTGGACCCTCCTGGGCGCCTCTCGGGGCCATACTGGAGGACATCGGTCAAAAAAGGGGGAAGGGGTTCATCTACACTGCCCTTCTAAAGTGCCGAAGCTCCCCTCTTGGGGCGCTCCTGGGGCGGTATTGGAGCGCTCTTGGGGCCGTCTTGGAAGCCGCATGTGCGCCCCTTTGAGGCCTAGTGGGTCATCTTGGAGCCATCTTGAAGCGAACGTATGTCATCGGTATTGGGCCATCGGGCGACCTTGGAAGTCATTTTGGGCCCCCTGATGCCCGATCGAACATAGCCCTGGGGTCCAACATCGGATGTTCGATCCGATCGAACATAGCCCCCGGGCCCAAAACCGGATGTTCGATCCGATTGAACACAGCCCCTGGGCCCAAAATCTGATGTTCGATCCGATCGAACATAGCCTTGGTGGGCAAGAGCGGGCGTTCGACCCGATCGAACATAGCCCCGGTGGGCAAACTCGGGTGTTCGACCAGATCGAACATAGCCCTGGTGGGCAAAAGCGGATGTTCGACCCGATCGAACATAGCCCTTGGCCTCTTGGGCAGTCTTAACATCTCCCGGGGTCCGCGCGGGCCCCCCCGCCCCCTGACGCGCAAAGATCGGGGGGGAAGGGATGTGCGTCGTCGTCGGTGGAGCCATCTTGGGCCATCTTGGACGCTCCACTAACTCCTCCTCCTCCTCCCCCTCCTCCTCGTCCTCCTCCTCCTCCTCGTCCTCCTCCTCCTCCTCCTCTTCCTCCTCCTCCTCCTCGCCCCCGCCCTCTGACCCCGGCGCGGGCCTCGTCCAGGCCGGCTGAGCCGTAGCGCGTGCTCTCCAAGTGCCAGGTGCCCTTCGTCGCCATCAGCACCTGGCACCCCGCTAGTAGATCTGGCAACTCTCCCACGGGGAAGCCCCGACCGCCCAAACGTCGCTCATTCGCTCGCTCTCCACCCAGGAAGTATCCCATATGATGCTTGCGTGTAAGGGTCCACGATGAGAAGTCAGGGGGAACCGACAGGCGCACATACCTTTACATTCCATATCCCTCCCGCGGCGCGTTCTGACCAGGACTTCGAGGCGAACCCAGCGGTGGCGTCGAGGGCCTCTCCAAAGGCCAAAGAAAGTGGAACACTATGGAAATGGTAGAGGTATCGGTACCTTTTCACCCGCTGAACTTCTAAACCCGGGGAGGCGTTTGCGACCCGCGCTCCATACCTTGTGGACTTCGGTCGTTGTCTGTAGGCGTGGCCCGCGGCCCCCGGTCGTGATCTCCAGCGGCTTCGGTCGTGACCAGTGGCAGGTTGTGGTTCCCTTTTGGTCGTGACTGGGGATCCTTGGTCGTGGTGTCCAGTGGTTTCTCATCGTGGTCTGCGGTCTATGGTTGCGATGCCTGGCCACCCCGCGTTGTTTTTTTTTGCAATTCGCTTGCATCGCGTTTTATGTTCGGCGTTGCAAAAAACTGCTTAGGTTTTGTTATGTTTTGTTCCAGCGGCGAGCCATGGACGTAACTAATTTCAGGGGAAACTCTGCGCTGCCGCGACGATATCGCACGCCCCCCCCCGCACGCGCGCACACGCGCACCAATAATTACTCAGGCGAAATCCCCAATTAGTGGATATCCGACGTTTACCGCATATGCCTTGATCAACCCTCCTTCTCCCGTCGTCGTCGTCGTCGTCGTTGTCTTGGGGGCCACCCCAAGAGAGGAATGATAGTGGAAGGAGGGGGCAATGATGGAAAGAGGGACGAGCGGCTGGCCCAGAAGAAGGGGGTCGACATTCCAACCGTCTCCCTGGAATTTCGACACACGTTTCCCGCCCATGTGCCATGTGATCGTCTTGGCGGCCGTCCCCCTCGGGTGCCCCCCTGACGACTTCATCGTATTCCTCTTCCGGGTCTTAGCGAACTCACTAAAACAATACCATGCGATTGACACACCGTTCTGTTCTTGCCAGCGCCACCCACCACCGGCCATCCACCACCCACCCGCCACCCGCCCACCACCCACCCACCACCCACCCACCACCCACCACCCACCCGCCACCCACCCACCACCCACCACCCACCCACCACCCACCACCCACCCACCACCGACCCCCCCCAAGCCCGACAACATCCCTACAGCCCAGCCCCTAAACCATCTCTACAGCCCGGCCCCCAACGCATCCCTAAAGCCCGTCCCTTAAAACATCCCTCAAGCGTGGCCCCTCGAACATCCCGAAAGCCCAGCCCGTAAAACGGTTCCTAAAACATCCCAAAGTCCAGGCTCTAAAACATACCTATAATCCATGTCTAAAACATCCCCAAAGCCCATCCCCTGAAACATTATGAAAGGTCGACCCCTAAAACATCCTCAGGTCCCGGGCCCGTAAACATCACTAAAGCCTCACCCACCGCCCACCCACCACCCATCACCCACCCACTACCGCCCACCTTCACACCCGCCGGCCATCCACCACCCACCCGCCACCCGCCCACTACCTAGCCATCACCCACCACCCACCCACCACCCACCCACCACTCACCCACCACCCACCCACCACCCACCCACCACCCACCCATTAGATCGATGTTGAGATCGATCGTGTGATGATAGACCGATCATGAGATCGATGTGAGAGCGATAAAAAAATATATCGTGACATCGATAGTGACACCGATGGCGTCGCCGATTGTGATATCGATCGTGTGAGATCGATCGCGGCATCGACCGTGATATCGACAGTGAGATCGATAACGAGAGTGATCGTGTGATCGATTGAGTGAGACTGGTAATGATATCGATAACGTAGTGGGATCGGCATTCAGATCGATAGGGAGATCGATTGAGTGATTTCGACAGTGAGATCACTAATCAAACGGTTAGTGATATCGATCGTCAGATCGATCGTGCATTCGATCGTGAGTTCGATCGTGCGATCGATCGTGAGATCGATAAAGAGATCGACTGGGAACCCAAGAGCCCGAAATAAGATACCCGTGAACCCCGCCACCCATCGAAATCTGTCTGCCTGGAACCAGCAACCAGGAACCAGGGAACTCAGAACCATGAGCCCGGGAACCCAGCCAGCCGCGCACCAAAATCGACCAGAAAGCTTCGCCGCGTATTCCAGTCTCCGCATTGACACCTTCAGTGCAAGCACCGATTGGGGAACACACGCAGCAATTTGTGAGCGAGACCCCGCGGCAGTTGCCCCGCACTTTCGTGAGGGAACGGTACCTCGCTGTTGGGCCATGGTGAAGATGGGCAAGGCGAAGCGCGTCAAGGTCGAGGTCGACGAATGCTTCAAGGCGACCGAGGGGGAAGATGCCATGAGCGAGGCCGGCACGGAGGTCTCGCTGTTGAACCCGCCGAGAGGCGCGCCCAGGCCAAGCGGCAAGGTTGTCTGGGCGCACACCATGTAAAATCGAGCTGGACGAAAGGGGGGATTGTGAACAGGGGGGGGGGGGGGAAATTTGCTGCAGGCGGCTGGTTTCGGCCTCGCCGAGAGGCCCATTTCTCGATGCATAGCCGCCTCCGGCGCCGGGCGGCGCTGGGAAAATCAGCTATGTGACTTGATTTTCGAACCCCCTTTTGCTATCCACCCCTTTCGCCCGACCCGATAATATAACATCGAAACAACTACGAGGTCTGACTTGCGCAACTAATCGATGTCCATTTGGGGCCCGCGCTGTGCTTGAGGTTTCGGGCCGCTCCGCAGACCTGGATTTGAACCTAATGGCGACCGAGGGCCGCCATGGCATTCCATATTATGATAGCGGTCGGGTCAGATCGCGTCGTTGTTTCGATGTTGTTGCGCGCGATGCGCATCCGCCCCAGCGAGGTCCCCATCGCGCAGCTCCGGGAGAGGATCGCTCACGTCCTCGCCCAGCGGCAGCAGTTGCCGGCGCCGTGCCCCACGGACAAGTTCCCCCTGCCGCGCGCGGGGAAGTGCGAGCTGCGTGCCCGTGATTGGCAGACTACACCGAACCCTTTGAAAGGGCGCCCGTGTCCATTCCTAGAGGTCAGCCGCGCAGGCTCCAATATTTGCATTCCGTGCCGGAACTCGCTGAACTGGGCATACAAAGGCGGGGCCCAGGGTCGCGTCGATTGACGGTGTCATCTCCCCGCTCATCCCTTCTCGTCGAATTCCTCCCCCCCCTCCCTCCCCTCCCCTTCCCCCTTTCAGATCCTCTCCCTTCATTCCTCAGCCAGTCAAATTTTGGCATCGGTTTGACTTGGGACGTGCGCAGATGACAGCAGTTGCCATATCGAAACATCGTCTCGGTTGGAATTGTCTTCCTTTGCCTATATTCCCTACCTAGGTTCTGCCTAGAAGGGTTCTTACTCCGTGGGCTTAAAGAGCCGGGCAGTGCAAACCGCCCTGGGCGGTTCCCCCAGCATCCGCCCCGCGGTTCCCCCAGTTACGTCCCCTTAGTTTAGCGTTGCTTTCTCATCTTAGCTTAGCTTACTCCATCTTAGCTGACCTTAGCTTCATCTTGCATCAGGTTTATCTTAGCATAGTTTATCGTCATTTCAGCTTCGCTGAGCTTTAGCATAGCAGAGCACAGCATAGCATGGCAGAGCGTAGCACAGCATAGCGCAGCACAGCATATAAAAGCATAGCATAGCACAGACTAGCGCAGCATATCATAGCACAGCATAGCAGATAATAGCGCAGCACAGCGCACCACGGCATAGCCCAGCGCAGCATAGCATAGCATAGCATAACATATCATAGCATAGCATAGCACAGCTTCGCATATCATACCATATCATAGCTTAGCACAGCACAACGCAGCATGTCATATCATAGCTTAGCATAACATATCATACCATACATAACATAACACATCACACCCTATCATACCATACCATACCATAGTAGGGCGCAGCATAACACGGTATATCATATCATAGCGTAGCATAGCAACGAATGATGTTTTCCTAGGGGATCCAACTTGTAGGTATGGTCGCACTGGGGTAACTTGTTCCTGATACTACCTTGCTTCTGACTATGGTCCTTCGGGCTTGTGAACGGTTATGATAGGAGAATCAATAAAAGTTCGGGGCTGTCGGCTCGAGGACCTCAGTTCATTCTGGGCATTGCGAGACACACGTTCGATGCCGCAGGTATCCCGAGAGCAGGTACCCCAGAGGAAACGTTATCCTATCGAGACGCTTCTTCGCTACTGTGACTGTTATCATCCGCGGACGTTTAGGAGTCAACCCGAAGCCGACACCCCATCCCCGGGGCGTCGCGCCCCGCCCCGCCTCGCTGCGAGTGCCCATCGCCGATGTGTCGGGTGCTTATCGCCGATTCATTGGTGGCGCATCGCCGAATCGACGTTGCTACCCGTTCCCCACCGGCCGAGCCCCTCCGTGGAAGCGACCGCCCCCCAGCTCTCCCCGCAGGCGTGAAGGAGGCGCAGATGATCCAGCGGTGCAAGGACCCGGTGGAGCGCGAGCGCTTCAATTTCATCACGTACGTATGGGAGGACAGGTACAACGACCCCACCACGGCATGCGTCAAGACCGTGCAGGAGCTGCCCGACGATTGCCTCACGAAAGTTATGTCCCAGCAGACGGCCTCGATGGAGTCCAAGCTGATGGTTGGCATCTTGTGGCCGCTCCCATCCTTCAGCGACGCAGTGACGAAGGCGCTCAATAGGAAGCCGACAGCTGCCGACATGACGACGATCATCCACAATGGGGAGAAGGTGAAAGGAGTCATTAGAGATCCGAAGCACGGGAACCCGCCAGGGACGTACGAGGTAACTTCCAAGTCCAGCTTGAGCCACGTGATGACAGTCGTGCAGGAAGATTCAGATCGGGCAGTTCGCGGTTCCCAGCAGTGCAAGGACACGTTTGCCGCCCTGCTGAAGCGCGTGGGTGTCGCGGCGAGCTTGCGGGACAACGAGGAGGGGAGCAGTGCCGACGTGGTCAACATCAAGTGCAAGCACAAGCAGCAGCCGGGCGACATCTTGGACGACCTCTGGACGAACCCGTTCCAGCAGGAGAAAGTGAAGGCCGCCCCCGACCCGAACAGGCCCAAGCCGCAGCCGAAAACTCACAAAGCCAAAGACCCAGAGGCCAGACGACAGATTGAGTACAACGAGTCCGAGCAGGTTCTCTTTAAGGGCAAACAGACGCTCAACCTCGTCCAGTCGAAGATAGACAGCGTGACGATCCAGTCGCTGGCCAAGCTCCTCAAGGATGTGAAGAGCCGTCAGACTGACGCCCTCATGGAGCTCTACCGCAAGGACATGATCGCGGACGACCAGCAGCAGACGGAGTTCCGGACCGGGGCGGAGATCTTGCACGACCTCAACGACATGGAGACGAAAGTCAGCGCGTGGTTGGCCGTCAAGACAGGGTTGCGGTCGAGTGCGAAAGCTCCGAAAACGACACCCCCCCCCTTCATCCTGGAGGGGGGAGGTCGAGCAGGAGGGGGGGGGAGGCAGGGGGATGTGGAGGAGGAGCATGCTGGCGCGCGATTGGGAGCGACGGGCGGAGGAGGATGGGGGGGATCGATGCGACGATGGGGACGAGGTGGATGACGTTTGGACAGGAGTGCAGCGGGGCTCCGCGTGACCCCAGGACGCCCTTTTCTGGTCGTGTGAACGCCGCGCTTCCCATGGCAAATCCATCGAAACCCAAGAAAACCAGGGCACCCTGGAAGCAAGCTGGGCGTTTCTTGGCATGCGGTTGCGTTGTGATTCTTGCCCCTTCCCTAGCAGGCTGGCGAAGAAGGTCGAGGACTTCAAGGGCGGAATTTCGAGTTTGATGGATGTGCTGTCCGAGGCGCTCGCGGGGCCCTTCAATCAGAGCGGCCGGATGCTCGTCGCGATGAAGATTTGGGAGCGCGCGCTGGAGTTGGCCTCGAAGGAAGAGCCATCTACGTTTGCCACGTTCGCGTATGGCTTCCTGCCTGGCCGAGGAGGAGACGACGGCGGCATTGGCAAGGCTGTGGTAGATTATGTCGACGACGACGCAAAGCACGAGGTGGTCACGTCTGCCACCATGAACTACTTGACGATGATGATGAGCATGAAGAATAACGTTGAGAAGGTGACCGAATCCATCAAGCTGTTCAGGGAGCCAGCGATATCAATCGCCGGGGGTGACGTCAGCGTCAACGGCAAGCTGATCTCTTGGAAGGATGACATCAACATGTTCTACGACATCGTTTGCGTCCGCGACCCCATGACCAACGTCGATCAGACCGAGAAGAATTTGTATGACATTATGGAGGGCGTCACGGCTTCCAGGTTTCAGAAGGCTTTGAAGTTGCTGCCCACGGGGGTGTTGCTGCGCGCAGAAGTATCCGCAGTTGCTGCAGCCATCAGGCACGATGACCAGTTCAAGGACAAGCTATCCAGCTTGACGAACGCACTAGTTCATGCCACTCCTCTCAGTGAACGCATTGCGATGGAGGCCACCGAGGTGGAGGACAATGGCCCCCCGCTTTTCCCAGACGAGTTCTTGGGCGTCATTCACGGCGGCGTTGTCGACTACGTGGATCTCTTGCAGAGCACGTCGGCTCATTTCAAGAAGGCGCACCAGGCGGAGTTGACAGCGGTCCGCGATGCGTTCGTCGAGGCATTGACCTTCAGCCGCGACTCTGCCCATGCTAAGATTGGGAAGGTGTTCGCCCAGGTGGTGGCTGTCCTCTGTAAGACCTTGTCGAACGTCGACGACGTCGAGCGGGGCAGCGATCCCGCGTTGGATAGCCTACTGGAGAAGCTGATGTTGGCGAGTTCTGTCAAACACGTCAGTTTCTTGACGGAGTTCGAGGATGGCGATGTCGGCGCCGTCAAGGTCATCTCCGACATCTCCGGCATTGCGCAGACCATCCGGGATGGGTTGAAGCTGCTCCTCGCGCCGGCCAGCGAGTTGTCATTTGACCCCCCGCCCGTTCGCAGGCTCATCCACATGGTGCATGCGATGGTTGACGCCCTCGACGCTGGCTTCTCCTACGACACGACGGAGTGCGGTTCTGGCTTGAAGTTCCTGGTCGATCACCACAAGCAGCGATTGGAGAACCTGGCGACCTACACTCGTAGATTCCTTGTGGATGCCGTGCAGGCGGTCGTTCGGGACGCGTGCGGTTACTGCCAGAGCGAATTGACGATCCTGCAGAAGTTCGCGAATGCAGACCAGGCGAACAGAGAGAGCATATTCTCGACGCTATGGGCTGCGTGTGGAAAGCGTCACAAGGACTGGCACACCGAGACTGTGCTCACGGAGTGGATGGAAAACTGCAACAGCTTCATGGACCGGACGGACCCACTGTTCGAATTTCATAAGACCTTGGTCCGCTTCGGGGCCAAGTTCGACGACGCCGTCGCCCCTTGCGGCACCGTCTACTACGTCGTCGGGATGGGCTTGATCGGCCCTGCGCTGGTGGCCTCCGTTGCCGAGCTGAACAGCGAATGCTTCACCGAGCAGGAGCTCCCCGACACGCCGATGAGCCCGATCGACATGCAGCGGGCCACTCGGGCAGTGGGCCTGCCGAAGGATGCGATCGACATCAACTTCGACGCCCTCCGGACACAGGCCCTGAAGTTGACGGACGCCCAGCATAACTTGAGCATCGCCGACGATCGCGTCGCGATCATGAGAGGCTGCGGGTCGGAGTCAGCCGTGCCGCAGCTCGTGGTCGCGTGCGAGAGGGCGCGCGCCGCCTTCGAGCAGAGGTGCCGCCGCCACCAGGAGGACCTCATCGGGGCCATCGCGGAGGGGAGGAAGCTGTTTTCCGACTTGTTGGATTTGCTGTCGGCCGAGGGCATCGAGGCGACCTTCGAGAGCCAGTCGGCCACCCTGTCCCTCGACGGCGTCAAGCAGCTCGTTGCATCGGTGCGAGGGGTGGGAGGAACGAGAAATACACATATATATATACAGAGAGAGAGAGAAAAGAGAGAGAGAGAGAGAGAGAGAAAGAGATAAAAAAAAAGAGAGAGACAGCGAGAGACACAGAGGGAGAGAACGGTAGAGAGAGAAGATAGTGATAGAGAGAGATAGAGAGAAATATACACAACGAGAGTCGCGGCCCGCCCGCGACCCATCGGCCCCGGCAGCTGCCCGTTTCCGAAGGCGCCCAAACGGGGAGAGGGGAGGGGGGGGGGGCCTGGGGGATTTTGATGCACCGTGTGCCGGCTGTCAGAAGAGGCCCCCTCCTCAAAGTTGAGTCGTTTGGTCTCCTCGGCTTTCGGTCAGAGAGGAGTCGTTCGGCCCCTCCCGCGCTCGGTAGAATTTGCCCGTTCGGTTCCCTGTGTTCTCGGCCGGAGGGGGCCGATGGGGCTCCTTTTCCGACCGAAAGCAGAGGGGGCCGACCGATTCATTTCCGACCGAACACAGAGGGGGCCGAGCGACTCATCCGCGGGGCCGCCCGCGACCGACCCGCGCCGTGAGTCGCCCGCGCCTCCTCCGCCCGCTCGCGACGCGACCCGGCCGTCGGGGCGACGACAACAACAACAACCACAACCACAACCACAACAGCAACAGTTCCCACAACAACACAACACCAACAACAACAATATGAGCCACAACAATAACAGCCACCACCACAACACCAATAACAACAACGACAACAACACCAGCGCCAACGACATCAACACATTCAAAAACGACAGCAGCACCAACACCAAAACCAACACCAACACCAACACCAACACCAACACCAACACCAACACCAACACCAACACCAACACCGACAACATCAACAACAATCCCACCATCAACCACAACAACAACCGTAAACACAGCAACATCAGCAACACCAGCAACACTTACGTCATCATCATCCTCAACAACTTCACCATCACCAACACCAACACGCATACTCGTAATTCCGTCCTCCCCTTATCCCCCCCCCATGTTCATCCGCCTCCTCATATTTCTCCTCTTCTTCCTCTTCTCTTCCCATGTCAGTCTCATCGTCCCTTCTCTCTTCCGCCCGCCCACCCTGCCCCGCGCCTGCTTTTCCTCCTCTCTTCTGCCCCTCTTCGTCTCCCTCTCCCCTCCGCCCCTTCATCGCGCCCCTCCCCTGTCTTTTCCTCGCCCCCCCCCATCGTCGGCGATTCTGGCATTTTTCTGTTCGCCCCCGCCCCGCGAAAGGCGAACTCCGTCCAGGGCATCGGCGGCGGCCAGCCAGGGGCGGCGGAGGCCTTGTACAGGTCGTGGCGCTGGTTCGTGGGCGTCATGTCGGCCTCTTCGCCCAAGTGCCCGGGCAAGAACCCCGCCCCTCCCCCGCAGCAGGGGGCCCGGCGAGAAGAGGGGGGCTGCGACGGGGCAGGAAGAGAAGCAGGAGGAGATGATGACCGGAGGTTGGGGGGCGAGATCGAAGTGAACGGATCCCTCGCCAGGAAATTTGTTTCGGTTTCGGTTTCGTGTCGCGCGCGCGGGCGAGGCGAAGCTGCGCGGGCGGGCTAAAGGAATGATACCGCTCTGAGTAGGTCGGGCCAATGCAGACCACCGCCGCTTTAGTGAGTTGTCGTGGCCTGGCGTGCCCCGCCGGGGCTTCCCTCCGCGATGTCCTGTCAGTGTCCTGTCGATGTCTGGGCGGGATTGGGGGGGCCTCCGAGGTTCGCCGAGCTGCACGGAGACGAGCTCCTCTCGGGCCGGGCGAATCGCGGGGATGGCAAATGGGCGTACAGTCGGCCCGGATGAGTAGGTCGACCCTGCCAAATCAAGGATGCTTTTGTGTCCTGTGCCTCGCGATCCATGCCCCCTTGCATTCCTGTGGCAATGTGGCCTTCGGAAGGGTCTTGTGTCCTCTCGCGCGTCCTGCCCAACCAAATCCGACTGTAGCGAACCCCCTTTCCCTATCCCCCTGTTCGTCCGACCCGATCATCGACGCGCAGTACCAGCGCGACTCCGTCTTCGGTCGCGCAGGGAGGATGGCCGCGAGTTTGAGTATCGCGTCCTCGCTGTGTCGTCCTCCGGCGGCGGGCTCCAGCCTTGTGGATCACGTGCGGAAGGTCACCGGGCTTCGTTATTCCGCATTACATCGGATGGCCCCCCAAACACACCTTTCCCATCGAGCCCGCTGTTTTTTATCTTCGCTCAACCTCCGCCATTTTCTGGGTCTTCCTGTCACCTCTCCCGCTGCCTTCTTTTCTTCGTTTTGTTACTTGCCGTCGTCGTCTCCCGCATCCTCATCGTCATCCTCTGTTTTCTTTCCTCCTCCTCCTCCTCTTCCTCCTTTCCCTCCTCCTCCTCCTCCTCCTCCCCCTCCTCCTCCACCTCCCCCCCCGTCTGGTAGACGCCGCCCAGCCGCCCATCTCCCTCTCGCCATCGCAGCGGCGCCGAGCCGTCCACCATCTCCTCCTCCCCATTCCTCCTCGTGCTCCTCCTCCTGCTGCTCCTCCTCCACCTCCTCCTCCTGCTTCTAATCGTTCGAAGGTCTCCATCGGCCTAGAGACCATGGGGCCGTTGACCGCGCCGCACGTCGGCATCATTGCGGCCGCCCAGGCCATATGTGAGGCGCGGGGGGGAGGAGGAAACAGGGGGGAATGATGATCGGGCCGGACGAGACGGGGGGATAGGGAAAGGGGGTGCTACGAAATCTGGTGCACGCAGCTGGTTTCGGCCCCGCCGCCAGGCCCATGCTTCGATGCACGGGCGCCTCTCCAATAAAAACATCTACGTGAGCTGATTATCGACCCTGCCCTTGACTACCCCCCCCATGTCGTGCCCCCCCCCGCGGCGGCCCTGAGCCGGGGCGGCGGTTGCGCGCGACCACCCATTGGGGTTGCATGAGGAGGAGGAGGAGGAGGAGAAGGAGGAGGAGGAGGAGGAAGAATGAAGAGGAAGAGGAGGAGGAGGAGCAGGACGCGGAGGACGAGGAGGGGGAGCAGGAGGAGGAGGAGGAGGAGGGAGGATGATGAGGATGAGGATGAGGATGATGAGGATGAGGGTGATGAGGATGAGGATGATGAGGAGAAGGTGCAGGACAAGGGAGAGGAAAAGGGGGAGGACGGGGGGGGGAGTGACGAGCAGGAGAAGGAGGCAACGGCGGGTAACGAGGACCAGAGCGGGACGAGGACGAGGAAGAGGCGCTCCCCCCCGAAGGCGGACGACGGCCTTGAGGGGGAGTTGGCGGCGCTCGTGGAGGCCGCGTCCGCCGAAGGCGACGAGGCCGGCGTCGCGCAGGGGGACGGCGCCAAGGGGCGCAAGAGGAAGTCCTCTGGCGCTGCCCCCTCGCGCGCCTCGCGGGCCAAGTGCGAGTAGACTGTGGGCCTCTGGCCCTAGCCGGGCCCTGGCCGGCCGGCTTTTGCGACCGCTTGCGAACCCTACCCCGACATCTGCGCGAACGAAATGGGCACGGAAAGAATGGGTACACTGCCCAACAGCAGTTCCTGTTCATTTCGAACAGGACTCGCTGTCCGCGCCGCCGCGGCCTGTGTCCATTTGAGACAGGGGGCCGCCTGCCCAACAGCGGCCGCCGTTGGTTTGGGACAGCGTTTGCGGTTGGGCATTGTATCCATTCTTTCCGCGCCCATTTCTGGCGTCCAAACGACAAGTCCAATCGACGCTGGGGCGTCGGATGCCCCTGGTGTTTTTTTTGGCTGCAAACATTTCTCGGAATTTGAACCCCAACCAGTCTCTCAGATAGGCGCAGGCAACCCGCGTAGTGCGGATGGGCGGCTTCCCCAGGCCACCGCTGCATCTTTGCCCCTTGGGCCCATCCGCGGCAACCTTCGCATGCTAATTTTGTTTGAGCGGATGCTCGAACGTTGCCCTCCAAGGCGCCCTTGCGTCTTCAGCGCGTGTCCTCATTATGCGGGTTGACTGTAGCCCGCAGGGGAATGATTCGCACGCGGTCGGGCGCCCCGTGCAGCTGCACCAGCGCGGGTCCTCAGGGGCTCGCCGACACACCGTGGAGGGAATACGAGGGATCAAACAGTGACGAAATGTCTTGGGTTGCCTATAAGCCCACCAAATAATGATACTGCAACCTTGTCTAATGATTTGCGCGACGTATTCATTGACCACTTTGTTTTTACTGATTGTGGTGACGTTCTAAAAACATTGTTTTGGTTCTTGGAACATTTTAGGGTTCGGCGCGCGCGCCGTGGTAGGCCTGAATGTCGGGGCGGTCGGCGCCGGCTCAAAAGGGGCAGAATGACGCGGGGGCGACGCTCCAGAGATTTGTTCGCATTTGTATCGGGCGTTCCGCAATGGGACGGAATGCGCCCAGGACAAACAACGCGCATTTTTTCGGCACCCTCGGGGCCCCAGGGGGCCCCTGCAGGTCCCCTGTCCTGCGCCCCCCGACACCTCCATTCGTCGGACCCACTGCGGGACGCCCCATTTTCTCTCTTCTCACTGCAATTGTGCACGTGCTTTAATTTAGGTGTATATGCAGCTCAGCATCGGGAGACCTACCCCCATTCCCACCAGGAAAGCCATTGCCGTGGGAAAACGTGCCCACTCCGTCAAGATTCTCGTGGGTTCCAATTCGTTTGTCCGGATTCTCGTAGGGTTCCAACTCGTTTCGCGGGGCGTGGCCCACTGGGGACGGGGACGAGACTGTCGATGCTGACTTACGCCAGTGGCCGCCATTGGCCATTCGGAAATCGTGCCTGGCGCCGGGCTGGCCGTGGCATCGCGGCATCGGGTGCGCCGCGAACTCGACGCCCCGCCCGGCACCCAGCATGGGGCGCCAGCCGCTACAGGCAAAAATGTAAGCCTCCTAGATGGGGTCGGAGTACATGGGGTCGGAGGATCGCGCCGCGTCGCCCATGCATCGACGATGCGTTTCGACGCGGAGCCCGATGGTTTCCCACGCCGACGTTTCCGATGCGTCGCTGACGTCGGCGATGCACCGACGACGCATCGGCGATGCATTGTCGATGCGGCGCGATCCTCCGACCCCATCTATTCCGACCCATCTAGGAGGCCTTAAAAGGACGCGACGCGGAGGCGGTGGCGGCGGCGACGACGACGACGAAAGCGACGGCGGCCGCGGCGACGACGGCGACAGGCGGGGCCGCGGGCCATGGGGGGGCCCGAGGACATTCGATGACATGTTGAGGGAGAGGGCCCATGGAAACATCGATGAGGTGGTCCAGGGGAGAGGCGAGGGATCCGAGCGGGGCGTGAGCTTTCCGAGGCGGCCCGGGTGCGTGCATGGATTCCCCGAGGAGGCTTGCGCGGCGGCTCGTGGAAAGGGCCTGCGGCAAAGGGGGGGCGGAAAGGGGGGCTGGGCGGGAGCGGCGGTGGGGGTCGCGGGAGCCTGGGGTGGCAGTGCTTGGGGGGGGGGCTCGGACAATGGTGCTTGGGAGGCTGCCGGGGGAGGGGGGGGTGGGGCTGGGCGGGCTGGGGCGCGGGCTCCCGGGGCGGGGGGTCGGGGGTCGAGCTGCTGGGTGGTCCGGGAAGTGCTCGGGCCGAGGGCCGGGCAGGCCCGGGGGGGGGCTTGGGAAAGCTCGGGGGGGTCTGGGGGGAGTTTTGGGGGATGCGGGGTGCCGGGGGGCCCACTGGGGGAGCGGGTGGTCTTCGGGGGGCCCAAGGGGGGGGGGTCAGGGGAGGCCAAGGGGGGGGGGGGGGCAGGGTGGTTCGGGGGGCCTAGAGGGGGGGCGGGGGTCTGGGTGGGGCCTGGTGGGGGCGAGGGGGGGGGGGGGAGGCCTGGGGGGGGGCTGGGGGGGGCTGGGGGGGGGGGGGGGGGTCTCGGGGGGGCGCCGGGGGGGCCCGGGAGGGTTGTCGGGGGGGTTGTCGGGGGGGTTGTCGGGGGGGTTGTCGGGGCTGGTTTTTGGGGTGCCACTGGGCCTCTCGTCGTAAGCCAGGCGCGGCACCCCCAGTGTATATGCGCACCCGAGCAGCTGTTCGTGCTCCTGAGCGACGCTGCCTCGTGCACATCCACGCCAGCAAGAAACGCATCGGTGCCTGGCCGACCCGACGCGAACTCCGCTGCCCAGTAGGCAAGGGCGGGGATGAGCATCAGCAGCTCCGAAGCCTGGCACTTCACATGCCCTGCCTTTCGCCAGCTCTCGACGCGCTTGCGCGAGAAAATATCCAGAATGGCATCTTTGGCAACGCCAAGTGGCCACGACCATGTCCTCAGAAACTCGCGAACCGCTGGAAACAAGCCTGCGGCACCATTCTTGTACAGACCATCCAAATACAAAAAAATCAAAGTATTCATGACCCCTCCAATATGTAAGGTGTGGCTGGGTTCGGTCATTGCGTGCGTCACTGGCCTGACGACGCCCCTGAGCTCGGGCATGTTGAGAATCCCAGAGGGCAGATGGTTGAAGCCAGCTGCCTGCTGCCGAAGTTTGAACCTCTCTGGGTCTTCCGTGGCCTTGAAGCGCGCGAGCCTGTCAACTGTTCCGTGCACCTGCTCGTCTGTGGCGAAGACAAGCTTGCTATCGTCCGTAATGTTACAAGTAAGGGCGTACTCCCCGCCACGCTCGTCGATCACCCCAGAAACAGGCGCGGAATCCTTGGCGAACAAGTTAACGCACTTCATGCATAGCCTGGTAGCGTTGTCGCCCTTCGTGCCCCACATGATCTTGTGGGCCAAGCCGTCCATCAGAACCCCGCCGAGGCAGAAGAACACATGCACGTGGTTGCCCCCGTGCTCCAAGACCACGCCCGCCGCCTGCGGGTCGGTGCTACCGCGAAAGATGTGTTGCAGGAGTCGCCCAGCAAGTTGGCTGTATCCTGACTCGACTTGGTGATCAACTATCTGCGTGAGCGCCGCCGAGATCGTGATCCAGCACTCCTCCCGCTCGATCGCAGCTGCCCCAAACTCCGCAAACGTGACGCAAGTCATCCACTGCTTTCGGGCATGTCGTGCTACGAGCTCCAAGCCTGGGTTGTACTCATCTGCGTAATAGATGAGCCGCCACGGGCGATCGGGCGACGACGGGCGCGCCCCGTGCCGCAACGCGATGAAATCCCTAAACGCGGCACTCTCGGCAAAGGCCTGCTGCAAAAACGAATGGAGGCACACGAACGTGATATCTACCGCCCCGCCCGACGAACCTTTGAGCGTGAGACGCTTCCCTACAGTGCCGTACAAGTTCCTTTTGTTTAAAACCTCCTTCTGAGACCGCAGCAGCTCTCGTCGCGAGACGGGGCCCTCGGGGAGATTGCCTGCCCTCGCTTCGGCAACGATGGCGCATAGGGCCGTGCCTGAAACATGGGGCAGAGCGCGGCGAAACCTTTCGAGCCGCTGCAGCTTGGATGCTTTCGCATCCGAATACGACCAGTCACGGAACCTTCGCATTAGCCAAAATGGCTACGGATGGGGAGGAGGCGGTGGAGGATGGAAGGTGCACTCGTTGCAATGTTCAACTTGATACACGCAGTCAATTGTGAGCTAATCTGAAGCGAGAGCTGCAAATCGATCAGACGCGCGCAAAACCCGTGAAATGTTGTTAGGTCGGACCGCCCCCCATCCGCGTAGCTAGCGAGCGTTGGCCAGATGCCAGCGCGAATGCGCCCCCTGAGCACCGCGACCCCCCGCCCCCCGCGT